TATAAATTGTATTCGGGCTCGGGTCGGATTCGGTCAGCTTTCAGTGAAAATGTAGTGTAAAAATAAATAAAATCCTATTGTCTGTCCTGTTTATTGCTTGGGCACTGTTATTTACGTGACAACACCTGAACATAACACACACAGACACACATTGGCTGTTTGTTTCTACCTCTCCCCTCTCTGGAAGTCTCGGACCTCCAGCCGCCCGCCTCCGCCTTGATTAAACGCTGAAAATAAAATAAAAGAGGGAGACAGGTTTTTCCTATTTTATCTCATTTTGTTATATTTCTCCCTCTCCCCACGCTGGAAGCCTCGGACCTCTCGCTGCCCGCTCCCGTCTCACACAGAGGTCTCCCTCTCCGCGGAGCACCCAAGCGCACGCCCGGCCTGTTAAATAGCCTGTAACCATAACAACTGTGTGACACAAACTCAGTGCTTTAGTAATTAAATAATGTCGGGCTCGGTTCGGTTTCGGACATAACAAAACAGAATGACCGTCAGGTTCAGACAGAAATATGCGACCCGTGCTGCACTCTAACACACACACACACACACACACACACACACACACACACACACAAGGAAAACCGGACATTATCATCAATTTATAAACACCCCCCGGACGCCCCGGCCAGGACGTGAAAAGTGGACATGTCCGGGCAAAAGAGGACGTTTGGTCAGCCTAGGCTAAAGGAATACAAGGCTCAATAGAGCTTTGACTCTCAGTCAGCCTGGCTACAAGTTTCTGTTTTTTTGAACAGGGCTGCCAACATCACACCAGTGGGCGGAGCTGTGAGCTGTGTGCTCCGGGGTATTATGGGAACGTCAGCGGCTCCATCAGCGACTGCTCGCTGTGTGCCTGCCCCCTTCAGGACAACAGGTAACACTGCACCCTGTTTATGTTTAACCCTTTCATTTATTGATTCTGTTGACTTTAGCCATGTGTGTGTGTGTGTGTGTGCAGTTTCAGTCCCACGTGTGTGTCAGATGGAGCCCTCGGTGATCTCCGCTGCACCGCCTGTCAAACAGGATACGAGGGGAGATACTGTGAGAGGTGGGAATGATGACATCACAGCCGTCACCTGACAGCTCCGCTCGTCACTGTTTCTTTTGTTTTTAAATTCTGACCTCAGTCAGCTAATCACCTGACAGCTCTGCTGTGACATCACTGACTATAGGCTTTCATCCTGCAGGTGTTCTGTTGGTTACTATGGTAACCCCTTATCGGTGGGCGGGGTGTGTTCGCAGTGTAACTGCAGTGGGTGGGGCTCACTGCAGCCGCTATGTGACCCGCTGAGTGGACAGTGTGAGTGCAAGGCTGGGGTCACAGGTCTGTCATGTGACCAGTGTGACGAGAGGCACGTCCTTCAGGCAGCGGAGTGTGTGTGTGAGTAACAACACACACACACACACACACACACACACGTGTTCACACGTCACGTGTTACCAGAGCTCATCTGTGTGTTTGTTTCTGACTCAGCGTGTGATGACAAGTGTTCCGGTGTTCTGTTGGATGACCTGGAAAAACTACACAACCACTTTCTGTCTGTCAACCTGAGTGCTGTCACCATGGCGCCGTACCGCCAGCTGGTGTTACTGGAGAACCAGACCAGAGTCATCCAGGTAAACACACAACGCACAAGGCACCCTGGCGTCTCACCTGGAGACACGAGTGTCCCCGTGAAGACACAGTGTCCATCTCCTCGTGAAGTGAAACCAGCTGTGACATCACAGACTGTGACATCATGACCATCTGATGTAATGTGTTACTGACTGTGTGTTCATACAGGTGGCGTTTTCAGAAAACAGCTCGGTCGCTCTTCGTCTGTCCAGAGTGGAAGATGAGCTCAGACATCTGACCTCTGACCTCAGCACCCTGCTGCAGCAGGTAAACATGGATCCCTCCGGCACAGGCTCCCTACTTTACCTGAACTTACCTGATCTCACCTGAACTGATCTGAGCTCACCTGAGCTCACCTGATCTGATCTGAACTCACCTGAAGTCTGCTGATCTCACCTGAACTCACCTGAAGGTGAACTCACGTGATCTCACCTGAGACAGATAACAGATCATTATCATTATTATTATAACTTCAGATAAACAGATCACAGTGACATCACAATATCATCACAGTGACATCACAGTGACATCAGTAAACAGATTATAGAACATTAGATCCGTGTTGTGACATCAGCGACTGCCGCAACCTGCTCTGTGATCGAACATTGTCTTTACAGTTTTTCTCAATTGCTAAAACACAATTTCTGAAACCTTGCTCCATTTTCTGAAAACATTAAACACAAACCTCAGCTTCAAGCACTATTTACAAAACCTCTGACTCCTCGTGCAAAATGAAACTTTCGCCTCAAAACAGATTTAACTGTGCTCAAAACCAAACACTGCTCTCAAATCATAAACAAAGCGATCAAAATGATATACACTATCAAGAAGTCAGTAAACAATACACCAAAAAATAGAAAACACATTGTTCAAAACATATAGTTCTCAGGGAGAAGTACATTTTTAATCTCAAAACAAATTTCATATTTTTCCATCATTGTCTTTTGATGAATGAAAACATGTTCTATCATAGTAGGTGAAAATTGATCAGAAATTCTACTCTGCTTTGCTCTTTGCAATTTTTTTTGTTCTTCCTCCTCCTTGTACCCCTATTTTTACAGTACTGTATCCTGCATCTCACAAACTTGTGCTTTGTTTCTGTGATACTGTAATTCTTGTTCTTTGTTGATATGAACCTGCAACCAGTCAAAATCTATTGAGCAGTCAGTACTGTAAACAAATGGAAAGCACAATGTTCAGGGCCAAACAATTTGTTTATTGTACAGTATACAGCCTACAATGCACTGTACTACAGTATACAATACAAAAATCAAAGGAGTAAACATGTGATCAATGTGCTTCTTCTTGTCTTTGGGCTGGGTCAGGCCAGAGCACTTCGTCGACATCACAAGCAATATTTTCCCTCCTGACTTTCTCCGTCCCACCTTCAACAACCTGTTTGCTCTCTGAACTGGCTTATATTGGTTGTGTCACATGATTTGAAACAAGTGAAATCAATTTTCAGTGATTGTGTTTAATCAATGACATGTGTTCTCTATTTGTATTTGATTGTTGCCACTTGTGTTTACCAGTATGGATGACATGTGCATTAGAGTGCAGAATGTGTTTTGAGAATGAGAATGTGTTTAGAGTTCTGCTGAAAAGTCTAAGTGAGATCTGCAAATTGTGTTTTACCATGTGAAATGGTTTAAGGTATTGACAACAGACTGCACAATTAGCTAAATGAGTTCAGGCAACTGCGAACTTTGTTCAGCCAATGGGTTTTAGTGTTTTA